TTGTTAGATGTTTTTTTATTCGCACACCCGGAAGAAGTAATTGAAGGAATTAGCAACGAAATCGATCTATTCAAATCTAAATGAAATGCAATTGTTTTGTTCAGGTGAAAAAGATGATTTTTGAATATTTTAGACGATTTTAGTATTTCTTATTGTTATTAATTTATTATTATCGAACGAGTACTTTTTTCGTATATAAAATGTTATTTATCTATGTAGATATTCAATTTACCGAAAAGAGTTGTATTGTACCAATTTATTCAGATTTTCTGAATATCTAATTTATAAAATGTATATACATTTACAAGCCTACCAAATCAATAGACAAAGTTTTTGAAAAACAAATTATTGCATAGCAAATATATGGGTCATATAGTAAAAAATATATTTTAGAATTCTATATAATTATATAACATGTTAAATATTTATATATTCAACCTTGTTAGTCTCTCAATCAAAATCAGGGTCATCTCAAACTATATTTAGGTACATTTATATAAAGTATATTTCATAAGGTAAAATAATTTTCAAAATGTTATAGGTCCATTTATATGTATTTTTATATTTTTTAAAAATCACACTCTTAATTTTTATCTATATTTTTTTCAGAATCTTATTCTATATACATAATTTATTTTTAAAATTGAAATCATGTTTAACTGCTCCACTTATGTCAAAAGTAAAAACGCCCTTGATTAAAACTATCCCATTACTACTTTACTTAATTTCCACCTCCATGATCAATTGGTGTTCGACCTATAAAAGAATTTTTTTTTTTTTAATAAAATGTAAAATTTATTCGAAAAAATATTTTTACATTGCAACAGATCTTCAATCAATTTTGATATATTTTTGACGAAAAGATACCTTTTTGAAGTCTAGTGTTTATCTTAATGCGTACCAAATCATCACATAATCTTCATATTTTCCATCTTCTTGCTCTCGGATTGAAGAAAACCTATTCCGAACTTGCTCATCAAGTCATTTGACTAGTTGGTCTCCTGGAATTTTTAGTTTTACGGTGGCTTCTATTATTTTCAACCCACACAACATGTATTGAAAGGTGGAAATCTTATTATAACATTTCTATATATCTTTGTATATCTTTTGACCTTGAAAATTTCTCTAATTAACGAAAGATGTTTAATACTATATCTATTGCATGTCTCCACCGGATTAGGCAGTTGAATTTGTTGAATATATCTTCTAGTCGATTATTCAAAATTTGCAGTGTCAGTGTATTTGTTGAACGGCTTGAACCATCTTTAGCAAAAGTAATGTATTTGTTTTAAATCAACCGGTTTAAGTTTATGCATAATTTTTTTTCTTTCAAAAAGGCTAAAACATTGACTAAGTCGGTGGTAGATAAATAAATAAAAGAAAAGTTAATGATCTTCTCGAATGCATGCACTTTTTGAACTTAACAATATAAACTCACCCAATGTCAAAAGCCAAGTCTTATGACTTTTTAACTTTTACAACATTAATAAATTTTGTAAGTAGAATTCAACAAAAGTAGTTGGAACTTGGAAGTTAATTAAGTAATGGAACTTTATGATCTGCATCTGTCTATGTTCGTCACTTGTCACCACTACCAACAGCTAAAGAGTCTAGGACATGATCATGAGCTGACCTAGGAAGAATATATAGTGGGTTTCTTGTAATATTTAATAGGCTCTTGATGGACCTAACTAGTGTAAATGAAGCCCATACTTAAAAAGACTTGTCTAGTCACCAAAATAAATTTGAATCTTTAGTGATATCCTAAATAATTTTGAATCTTTAGTGAATATTATGATATTTTTAATCAAAAATCTGGGAAAATGCCTCATAAATCTTAATCAAAAATCTTACTTTTTTACCAACTATAGTATGTAAACATATGGATATATATGGTATTTTCTGTAACTTAAAAAACCCTAATTGTTGAACAAAAAAACTACTAATTAATTTGAAGAATATAAATCACTAGATTTTTTTTTCTCTAATAACTTTTTGTTACTCTCTCTCATCACTTTTTTTTTTTCTATATAAAAATTGGTTGTGCTTATTCGATCACTGTTATCTGGAAAATACTTTTTTGTTTTTCTAATGTTAAGCTCATCATAGCTGTAACAAAAATAATTTCTAGATGAAAAGATTTCTGTATAATTGACCAAAAAAGGTCCAAAAACAGGAAGAAGATAAAATTTACCAAGACATAAAAGCAAAGCTCCTCCGCCGCCGTTAGATTAAAAATCTGTAAATTTAGAGCCGTTGGGTTATTATCTCTTCGACGAATCTATAAATAGATTTTAAATTTTATTATCTTTTTTAAAAAAACATTCTTTTTTTTTTCCTTCTCCGCTGTTAAAGCGGGAAAATTCTGAGGTCGACGTACCGGTTTATTCCGCCGGAAAATTCGGGATCTCCGGCAACAGACACGGCGGAGTCCAAGATTTTGTATCTCTAACTGTTTCTCCTTTGTAATTTTGTTTTCTTTGACCAGAGAGAGATACTGAAATTGACCCAAAACCCTAGAATTTGTGCTTTTCGTTCTCCGACCTAATGGAGGAGTCTCGAGGATCTTCTGATCAAGAAGATGAACAAATTGTTCAAGTCAGGGAAGCTTTAATGTGTCCCGACGGTGAAAAGTTTGAATCTTTGCGAACGGCGAGGTTCTTAAACTACACGACGACATCTATTGACGACGATGTTTTCGACCTCCCTTTGGATGCGTTTGTGTGTAGACCGGAGGGGTTTGATCCGGCGGCGAAGATCTCGTTTCCCGGTTGGGGATCTCCGTCGTTGAACTGGATCGAGTGGGTGAATGTAATGGCGGAGTCACACGCCACGGTGTGGAAGAAATCTGGAGTTTACGACGCGATTTTGGCGTCTCGGTATCAGATTAAGAGGCATGATGATTTGATTATGGCATTGGTGGAGAAATGGTGTATTGAGACGAACACATTTGTGTTCCCTTGGGGAGAAGCGACGGTGACGCTGGAGGATATGATTGTTCTTGGAGGATTGTCTGTTACAGGGAACAATGCTTTGGCTCCGATTAAACGAGACGGTATGAAGGAGGTGGAGGAGAAGATGAAGGAGGCGAAACGTGATATCGAGGCGAGTTTGGAGAAGAAATGTGGTGTTAGCTTGTGGATGAAAGAGATGATGAACTCAGGGAATGAGATTGAGCATGAGGCGTTTATGGTTTCGTGGCTATCGCGTTTTGTATTCCCTAATTCAGGGGATGCGTTGAGAGAGAAGCTGTTTCCGGCTGCGATTCAGCTTGCTAAGGGAGTTAGGTTGGCTCTGGCTCCAGCGGCTTTAGCTAGGATTTACCGGGATCTTGGGGTTTTGAAGGAGTATCTCAGTGGTGATAGTGAGATAGAGACGGTGGTGGTGAAGTCTCCGTTTCAGTTTGTGCAGGTTTGGGCTTTAGAGAGAATCATGGAGTTGCAGCCACCGGGACAGCCAAGCCAGTTAAAGACTGGTGAACCGCGGATAGCGCGGTGGCACCATCATGGTGGTGGTCAGGATGTGTACGGCTATCCTGAGAATATCAGAGCGGTGTTGGACTCGGCCAAAGAGAGTTTCGACTATCGTCCATACACAAAACCTGTGAACAACTTCAAATTCCCAAAGTTTTACATGGAAGATGACTGTTGGGTTCGAGTAAGACCTGACGAGACCATTGTAGCTTTTGGTCGGTGTTTGAGGTTTGCTAAACTGGTTGGGTTGGATTGCATTGAACCTTATTATCCCCACCGTGTGGCATTGCAGTTTGGTTATGATCAGGATGTTCCCGGCGTAGTTCCAGCTAGAATTGAGACGCCAGAATTGGCCTGGAAAGATTATATCCGTCCAATTGCTGATGGAATGTTGTACTTTCCTGCTCGGCTTCACGAGGCTGATGTTACGGTTGGGTACATTCGGTGGTGGAAACTTTCTGTTGCGGTTTTGCAGTCTGAGGCTAAGAAAATTTTCCACATGCTTCAGGCTTCACATTCAGAACAGAAACCTGTGACTGCAATGACCCCAACAAAGGCAACATCTTTTTCCCCAGGGAAGTGGAAAACATCAGCTGCAAAATCTGAGGGAAAAGATCAAGAAGTGGTAAAGAAGAGGGAAATGGAGACAAAACGAGAGACATCTGTAACTGGTTCACAGATCGAGGTGAGTAGAGCAGATGGTCGGAGTCATGGCAGTAGTAACTATGCAGGGAGTCTCACGGGGTCAGAGCAAGCAACTAAGCATCCTTCAAAGAAGCCTGAATGGGTTCAGAGATCATCACCTAGACCCAAAAAGAGCCCTGATAGAAGTTCTGATAAGCCTGAATGGGTTCAGAAATCATCAGCTCGATCGACAAGGAGCCCTGATAAGCCTAAATGGGTTCAGAGATCATCATCTAGATCGACAAAGAGCCCTGATAGAAGCTTGGGAGGAGCAGCGGATGATGTTAAGGATCTTAAGGGAGCTCTCAGGGGCTCGGGGGGAACAAAGGGTCAGGGTCATGTCACGTTTCAGCTTCCAAGCTCCCCTGGGAGATCTCCATCCAATGCGCATACGTTTTCGCCAAAGCAAAGCGGTAAAATAATATGCTCTCATGTTCAGGTCTCAGTGTTAATTCCCTTGTTTCTGGATTGACGTCTTGCTTTTCTATAACAGATTCTCCTGTCAAAAAACCGAGAATGTTACCTCGGGTAGCAGACTTAGCCAAACAATCAAGCTCTTCTCCTCGGGGTCCAAGAGATACATCGTCTGTTCCTCGTCCTCCCAAGCGAGAGAACTACATAAAGCACCACAATTCCACAAGCTCCCGAGTTTCAAAAGAATCAAACACGTCACCATCTTTTTCTGGTTCTCCTTTAAAGAGGAAGAAGTCACCAAGATCTCCTGAAGCTATTAACTCTCGTGGTCAGAAAAATCCCCCAAGCCCGCGAGTTTCAAAAGAACCGTACAGGTCATCTTCTTTATCTGGTTCTTCTTCTTTAACTAGGAAGAAGCCACCAAGATCTCCTGAAGCTGCCAATTCGCGTAGTTACAACCATCCCCCAAGCCCGCGAGTTTCAAAAGAATTGAACAAGACACCATCTGTTTCTGGTTCTCCTTCTGCAACAAGGAAGAAGTCACCAAGATCCTCAGAAAATGTCAACTCGTGTGGTAATTCATCATCTGGAGGCAATTCTATTGTCAAGAGAAATACTGACACAAGCATCATAGTTTCCAAACAAGATTCACCAAGAAAAACTCAACTCGATATCAGCAAGGCTAATAAGTTACTAGAAGAGATGGTGACTTTGCGGGAGCAAGTTGGCGAAGATGGTGAAGTGACATATCAGATACCAAAGCAACAGTTTGAAGATCTAAGCAAAGGGGTCCATGATGTTCTACATGATCTACAGTCTATTAAATTCGCATTGAACATACAAGATCACGATGATGAATAGTTCTTGATCTCTCAGACTCTGACTAATAGACCTTTAAAGTTTTCATCTTTTTTGTTCCAACTCATTCAATACAAATACTTTGAAGTGAGATCCAAAAGCTAAACAAAAGGGTAGACACAGTATAATCCCAACACCGCAAAACAAAGACATTTTCGAGTTCTCTTTCGTTTCAAACCTGTAAAGAAACATTCTTTCGAACTATAATCCTATCAACTAAAGCTCGAAAACCGCTAAATTTACGCATAACAAGCTGCACACTGCATCAACAAAAATGTCACAAAGACTTACTGTAATAAACAGTAACCGGGTTCGCTTGTTTGTGTCACCTGTTCACAACAAAGCATCTTCATCAATAAATCAAGAAAAGCATTGTGACTTAGTCAAATTAGCAATGTGTGATCTGTTCTTGAAGCTTTTTGAGTTCTTGATGTTCGGCTTTTCTTCAAGAACAAGTTAGCAATGTGTGATCTGTTCTTGAAGCTTTTTGAGTTCTTGATGTTCGGCTTTTCTTCAAGAACAAGAGGAGCTTTGGATTGAATCGATTTTACAGAGATATCTGCAGATTTCAAGAATCAAAATTGGACAATCGAGTCAATACAGAATCTCCTATTGTTCTTACGAATTCGGTGACTACACACTCCACAAGCAATTTACCTCAAAATCCAAAAAACCAAGACCAAGAAACCAAAATCGTTGAATCAAAGATGGAGTACATCCACTCAAGGATCCAAAGCCTTGGCTATCAGATTCAGCTCCAAAAATTCGCCGGAGAATTCTTTTTCCGGTCTCAGAAAGATAAAACAATGTTCTTCGTCAAAATGTGATTGTGAAGGTGAAGAGACTAGAGAGATATATTACACGTGGCATATAATTCTGATGTTTTTTTTAGTCAAACTTGGACTTTTGTTTCTATTGAAAGAAAATGTGATTAGTTTAAAGAAAATTGGAAATAAAGGACAAATAATTAAACTATTGTCTATCTATGCATTTTATATTCGTGATTGGTCATATATACTTTAATATTGGTCATATATGATTTCATATAATTAAAATCCCAATATGCCTCCAGTCTTTTAAATTATTACTAAACTATTAAAAAAATTCAAAATTAAATTGATTTCTTTCTAAAAACAATTTGAAAAAATATAGGACAAAATCAACATTTATTTACATTATATTATTTGTTTTGCCGTAGATAATTTCATATCTTCTTCTTCTTTGATTCTCTTGCTCATCAAAGTTAAGCTTTCGTAATTGTTCTCTCCTCTCTAATAACCCCATATTAAATAATTTTTTTTCTTCTTCTTTTTCAATCTCTCTCTATCTCTCTCCCTTGGTTTCAATTTCTTTATGGAGCGCAACTATAATTTTCCGGGTTTTGAAACAAGAAATTAAGCGTAATCTATAGGAAAAAGTGTTAAGTATAAAGAAAAATTCTAATTTGTGTTATAATTTATTCACTTAGGTATAAAGAATTTTAAAGTATTCAAAATTCAACTAATTTTCCGGGTTTTGATTCACTTAGGTATAAAGAATTTTAAAGTATTCAAAATTCAACTAATTTTCCGGGTTTTGAGACAAGAAATTAAGTGTAATCTATAGGAAAAAGTGTGAAGTATAAAAAAAAAATTCTAATTTGTGTTATAATCTATTCACTTAGGTATAAAGAATTTCAAAGTATTCAGAATTCAACTTTTGTAATTTGCAGATGTAATCAAATTCACTATATTCAATTTCCATATTTTAAGATTTTTTTTTTAAAATCTAAATTAGATAGAATGTACAGAATAAAAAAAATCTTAAGAATATGTTTTCTAACATTCTTAGAACATGAGTAAATGTTAGAAAACATATTCTAATTTTTGTAGAACAAAGAACAAAATATAGAATATGTATTCTAAAAGTCTTAGAAACTAGTATTCTAAATACCGTAGAACAGAAATGACTTCTAAATTTTGTAGAACATGTAGAGTGTGTAGAATACATAATCTAAATTTTGTAGAACATGTAGCGTGTATAGAATATACATTCTAATTTCAAAAGACATATTCTAAACTTTATAGATCAAATTATATCCATCTAAAACGAAAACAAAACAATATATTTTTGACATTTTATATATCATGTCTTCTTTATCATTTTAGGAGGGGTTATTGGTTCATGGATTTATAAAGAATTAGAAATCCAAACAAAAATCATTTGTTATTCAATCATTGAATTTAAAATCTTAATTAAAATCATGTGTTATTGGTTCTATGATTTATAAATACTAATTAAAATCCTATGTTATTCGTTTAGTCATTTGTTTTTGGATTTGAGAATCCAAATTATGTTTTAAATAGATTTGAATGGAATTAAAAGAGAAAAATAGAAGGATTCAAATCCATGGGTAAACACATGTTATTTCAAAATCCATATATCTTGATTTCATAATTAATAGAGATTTTCAAATTCTATATGGATTTACAAATTAATAAACCAATAACACCCCTTTAGTACATATTTTTCTTAATTATTTTTGAAACAATTGGTTCAATCTTATGCAAAGGGTAGTTTAGGAATAGTTGATATTTGTTCATAAAATTAATATATGGACAAATACTTAAATATTTATCATTTATTTCCAATTTTCCCTTAACATAATTAATGAGCTCATCAGAAATTAAAAAAATCATTTGATAAGAAGATCAGATTCTCTCAAAGGCTCTCTCTCCCATGTGACATGTGAGGGATGATGAATTTATTAATCTTCTTTGTATCATTGACCTATTATTGCTCTCCTTTTCTCTTCAAACTCAAAAAAAGGTTTCACTTTTAATCCTCTTTAAGAATATTGTTTTTGTTCAGGTTGATCCAAATTATTTCTTTCTAGGGTAAAGTCTAGATTTTTATGTTCTTCTGATCCAAAGTTCTATTTTTGTTATCTGGGTTTTGTTCTGTTTGTCAGTTTCTTCACGTGAGTGAAGTTTTTAGCTACTCTCAATAGCTTCAAACTTTGACCAAATTTGTTTGTTCTCTCTTGTTTTCATCGACGACTCTTGACTTTGCTGAGAAGAAGTGTTTATCTTTGATCGAAATCAACAAAAGAAGAAGAAGAAGAAGAAGGAGGAGAAGAATCTGATCTGCAATTTTCTTACAGGGTATATATATACTCATCTCTTTGGATTATGGGTTTAGAATCTGTAGCTTTCTCTTGATATTGAATGTTTTACATCTAGATCAGGAATTGAAAGAAAGATGGGTTCTTTCAAGGGTCATGCTTTGCCAGGTACATTGTTCCTTGTGGTTGGAGTATGGCACATTTGGAGCTCAGTGGTTCGATTCATATCGAATCCTAGTTCATTTCGGGTTAGAGTTTGGCACCCTGTTCCTGGTTTTAATGATAGGATCAAGTACTTGGAGCTTTATGTTGTTACTATTGGCTCGTTCATTGACTTGTGCATTGAGTTTTTGTATTCAACTCATCTCAAGTTCTTTGTTGATGGTGTTTTGAATCCTTCCCACATGAATGATTTTGAGCACTCTGGGATGCTTCTCATGTTCTTCATCCTCGGATTTATCGCTTTGCTCTCCGAGAAAACAAGGTATTAAATGATTGTTTTATGATATACCATTGGCAACGCTAGGTATAGGTTGGATTGAGAAGTCAAAAGTTGGGTTATCAGTAATTATGGACTTAAATTTCGATGAAGAGTTCTAGAAATGGATCTAGATCGTTGATAATATGATTCGATTATTGATAGATTCATCAAGTTTGGTATTTTTCTTTGAAGTTAGGTTGGATCCTTGGTAGTTTTGAGAACTCAAAAGTTGTTTATTAGTGATTCTCAACCTAGTTTTCGATGGAGACAATCCTAGAGATGGATCTTGATCATTGATAAAATGATCTGATTATCAAAAGATAATGGTATATATGAATCTTGATGATCTTTGGTGATTTTGAGAACTCAAAAGTTGTTTGCTAGTGATTAATAACTTCATTTTTTGAATGAAAACAACTGTAGAAATGGATCTAAACTCATTAATAGTATGATTTGACTATCAACAGATTCATCAAGATTGGTATTTAGCTCTGAAGTTAGGTTGGACTTTGGTGCTATGAACTCAAAAGTGGTTTACTAGTGATTCTTGACTTGGTTTTTAATGAAAACATCCGTAGAAATGGATATAGATATGGATCTATATGAATTGATATATTCACAACGATGCTTTCTTTATTTGTCATAGGTTACTTCCTCTGCCACAAGAAGCTCTATGCTTAATTGCTGCAACAGCCTTTACAGCTGAATGTCTTCTCTTCTTCTTCCACTCCACAAGCCACAAAGGTCTTGAAGGTTATTACCATCTCCTCCTCGTCTTTCTCATCGGTCTCTGCGTCATCTCCTCAATCGCAGGAGCAATCTGCCCTACAAGCTTCCCAGTAGATCTATGCAATGGCATTGCAATGACTCTTCAAGGACTCTGGTTTTACCAGACAGCTTTCACTCTCTATGGCCCTATGATGCCTCAAGGCTGTAGTTTAAAACAAAACTCTGTAGTTTGCAGATCAGTCGATTCCGAAGTCTCTGGAGAGTTTCTGGCTAATTTTCAGCTATTTTCATTGGTTCTTGCTGTTCTTGTCTGCGTTGTGGGTTCATATGTATTTGCAGCTTCGAGATTTGGAGTTAGTAGATGAGAGATTTTAGTAAGTACAAATTAGGGATTTTGTTGTTTATCTTCTTCGTCTTCTCTTTATCTCCTAGTGTTTTTAGAAAAATATAAAGAAATAATCTTTTTTTCTTCTACTGCTTTTGGACGAGTTTGCATTTGAAGACAAAGAACACACACTCCTATTCACCAGTTTTGGCAAGACCAATATATATATAAAAAAAAATCAATTCGGTTTCTAATGCCTAATAAAAAGAAAAGTAACACGTTTTATACCTTGTTGTGTATGAGTCTGAACTAAAACATGGGCTATAATGCCAACAACGCCAACATAGACAAGGGAGAATGCCGATACAACCACAAGTGTAACCAATGATCCATACTTGTGGATGCTTATCTTTTGCCTGAACCATAACTACAATGGCTGCTACAATCTGGACCAAAGTTAGAGCAAGATCAAAAAAATTCCAAACATATTCATATGTAACTGGACCACACCGCTGAACACCCTCAGCCTCATTTGGTGTTTGCTCATCGGTAGTTATGTCGACGATGTGTTCCTCATTCGATGAAGAATCACCATCATTCTTGCTCAACAGAGGGTCCTCCATTTCTCACTTTTGCTTTCTTCTATTACCTCTAATCCAAAACACAAAGCATATATATACACCTTCCAAACGGTGCTATGTTATTATTATTGTAAGACCAAATCTTTAGTCTTTTAATATTATTTGGTGCGAAATTACTGTGTAAGATCAAACTCTACACCAAGACCAACGTAAATTTTAGTCTTTTACCAAGTGGTGATTGATTTGGTGCTAAATTATTATGTAAGAAAAATTTCTACACCAAGACCAATTCAAATTTCTTCAGTAAAATATAGTATTTTACCAACTGGTGCTAAATTAATATGTAAGACCAACTATACACCAAGAGCAATCCAATTTCTCAAGTAAATTATAGTATTTAGTATTTACCAAGTGGTGATATTTGAATAATTTGGTGCTAAATTACCACTGTAAGACCAACTCAGCATCAAGAACACAAAATTCTTTAAGTAGATTATAGTCTTTACTCTAAACAACTCTATAAATGCCACTTAAAAAAATTACTTTTGTCATAATTGATTCATTTAGGAAAATGCCAAATAAAACAAATAGTGAGCCAAAAATGGCATTTTAAAACAATAATCCCTTCAAAAGGGAAAAAAGAAAGAAAAAAAAACAATAATCCTTTTTGTTGGTTCCAACTCTGGCTTGCTAGGGCGACTACAGATCCGGCAAGTGCAACTACAAATCCGACAAGTACGATTATCTCGACGGAATAATCAAATAGAAAATGGAGGAAGAAACCGTTAGAGAATCTGCGTTCAACGCTGACAGGTAAGCTCTTCAATTCCTCTCTTTTAGTGTTGTGGGTTCGAAACTTGAAACTTTCTCAGTAGTATTGTGGGTTTTAGATTTTAGTGTTGTGGGTTCGATTTTGGTCGTATTAGAAGAGTATGTGAACTTGTCCCCTCTGTTTGTTTGTTTAGAGTGCAAGATATAGTTGAGTCAGTTCCTCTTCTTTCACCAGCTAGACCTCAAAGATTATTCTTCAATCAAACAAGTTATCAACAAAAATTGAGATTAGAATCGAGGTGTTCTATTGAACAGACGGTTACTTTCTTAAGGAATCAACTTTTAGCAGATGAGCTTGGATGGTTCACATAACACCCACAATTTAGACACATCGTCCATATGCATTGGGACAATACGCGTAAATTCACGGGTATGTGGACTTTACTTCTTCGAACAGCTGACATTATGGAGATGAATGAATGTTGGTTCATCGTGAATGGTGTTCCCATTCGCTATTCAATCAAGGAGCATGTCTTGATTAGCGGGTTACACTGCCATGAGCTCCCAGCAGATTACGAAAACCAATCGGACAGTACTGATTTTTCTGATAGGCTGTTTAAGGGTGAAAAAATAAATTTGGCAACTGTGTTAGCAAAGCTAGAATAAATGAGGTGATGACCGTTTAAAGATGACATTGTTGTACTTCTTAGGGACTGTCGTTCAAGGAAAGAAGAAATTCAAACAAACACTTGTGAGGCCTTTCTTGTACAAGATAGTTGTCAATCTAGAGTTGTGTAAGTCTAATGAAAAATTTTGAAGGCACTGTGAACAACTCATGGGCGTTTCCTGGTTTCATGATACCACTTGAGGTAAATTTTTGCTTCTCATGTTGAACAATTTAGTTTTGACGAGTCTTGATTTCCATATGTTCACTTATTTGTTTTCGTTTTCGTAACTATCTATATGATGCTTGCGATATTGCTAACTGTGTAGATGTTAGCATTTGAATCTATTCCAAAACTAAAGAACGAGTGCCAAGAAGATGTCGAACACGCAAACAATGCATGTCCAAGGATGTGCAAGAAGAAGTTCATAAAATCAGGTGGTACTGGATTTCCGTTGGAAAAATTTTGTAATGCTCTTGGAACTACGAAGGTTAGAACTCACCTTAATTTGAAATTACTTATCTTAATCATTATTCAACTATAGGTTTTGTGTAATTTATAGTTCTTTAAAGGATATTCATAGTATATTGGTACCTGAGTTGGATGAGCAACCTCTTCTGGCTCACATCGTAGAAGACACGACAAATGTTGACCCTATTGTTAGCAGTTGGATGCAGCTTTTAACCATAGAAAAAGTTGATATTCTGGAAAGATCTTTACGAGAAAGATCAGTCAAACCGAGTAGTGAAAAAGAGAGCCCGGCCTGAGTCTGCGACATGTGCTTCCAGAAGAAAAAGAAAACGTACCACAAACCCATTACCTGTGTTGCAAGAAGAAAACAATGCGCAAGTTCATGGAGCGTTAGCAGAAGAGCAAAACGTGTCGCAAAATTATGAATTGAGAAGAGACCTTCTGTTATTGAGAGAACAACAACGAAAAGCTGATGTCAAAATAATTACCTTGGAAAACAAATCGAAGCTACGGAAGCATCTGGTTCCGAGTCTCAAGGTTGCAGGAGTCAGAATGGTAACGAGACTCAAAATGGTGACCTGACTCAAAATGGTAGCTAGACTCAAAATGGTGACCTGGCTCATGTGCTGAATCAAGATGGTGAGCCGGCCGTAGATAATGTGCAGACTCATGTGCTGACTCAAGATGGTGACCTGGCTGTAGATGATTTGTAGACTGAAGACGGTGGATGTCCCCAAGATTGTTATCGGGATCGAGCTGACACTAGGGAGGATGGTCAAGATGATTACATATGTGAAGAGTTGATTAATTCTAGAAATCATGTCGCTAATTATAATTACTGTAACGATGATGGTGTAAATAAGCCCCTAAATGAGCCCATAGAAAGCCGGGATCAAGCTGCCTCTAGTGACTACAAGGGTGAAGAGTTGAGTGATCCCAGAAGTCTTGTCACTGTTGATAATGACAGTAATGATGATGGTGGCACCGTAAAAGAACCCCTAAAAGTGACTGAAGAAGAAGAAACCGGGATCAAGCTGCCTCAAGTGAAAACATGTTCGAAGAAGAAGAGTCCAAAGAAGAGGAGTCTGAAGAAGAAGAAGACCGGGATTAAGCTACCTCTAGTGACAACATGTTCGAAGAAAAGGAGCCCGAAAAAGAGGAGTCTAAAGAAGAAGACGACCGGGATCAAGCTGCCTCTAGTGACAAAAGGTTCAAAGAAGAGGAGTCCAAAGAAGAAGAAAACCGGGATCAAGCTGCCTCTAGTGACAGAAAGTTCGAAGAAGAGGAGTCCAAAGAAGAAGAGCCTCTTGAAGTGTCCTTAGGTAGACCAATAAGGATGAAATGACACTTCAACATGCTCTTCTTCTTCAGTCATGTTTCTAATTTCTATCTACATGCATGGAAAATATAGAAATGTGGCAAACTATTATTCTACTATTCGACCACTTATTTTATACCTAAACATTATTCGACCAATTAAATAAACTGTAAAATATAAGTAATTATAAAACAGAAATAATTAATTAAAATAAAACCATATTTTTTTTTGGCTAAACCATCACTTAGGCCATGAATGTTTGGTAGTTTTTTATTGGCTTTTAGATTCTAGTTTCTGGATTTTGGTTTTTAGTTTTTGATTTTTTTTTTGTTTTTGATATTTGGTGTAGATTTTAGTTTTTGCAAAATCTTGAACGGTAATTTGTTTAGTTTTTAGTTTTTCTATATAATAATAATTTTTAAACGTTTTTAAGTTATATATTTTAAAATAGCATATTTAAAACAATAAAAAAAGAATTGACAAAAAATGTGACGTAAATTGTTGAAAAAACCCACAAAACTTGGTTTTTGGATTCTATGAAGAAATAGCTAAAATCTGGCCAAATCTGGTTTTTCTATTTTTTAGAAAATCCATTTTTTATAAAATCATGAATGGTTAATTTTTGCATTTTTGCAAAATCATAATCTAAAAACTGGTTCCATTCAAAGCCTTATTAGGATATGATGGAAGGAAGTATAAGATAACCCTATGATCAAAACAAAAATGATTTTGTTTGTGCTCTTGCATTACTCTATAGCTGAAATAAAAGTTTTAGCAAATGCAAAATATGTAGACATTCATATTATAAAAAGTAATTCGCAACCGTGGATCAGATGCAAAATATGTAGACATTCATATAATTATAAAAAATAATTTTCAACCGTGGATCAGATGCAAAATATGTAGACATTCATATAATTATAAAAACAAATTATCAACCGTTGATTACTTTTTCAATCTAGAGTTTAGATATGTAGAAAAAGCACATATCATTACAAAAATTAGTAAGAAAAAAGAAGAATTAACAAATTACCTCTTCACTAAGACAAAGCTGGAGCATATATTATTTTTCATCTTCAAATATTATATTTAACAAACTATGTAGGTGATAGTGTTAGGTAGTATGTGAGAAGAAAAACAACTACTTATTTATAACAAATGAAGTGAACTAATAAGATTTTGGTGGGTCATGAGTTTTCATTTTAGAATCCATACGTTATCGTAGTAATTGCACAAACCTTAACTTTAAATTGAAAGTGGAGACAATCAATTAAGAAAACCATAAGTTAGATAATAATTAACATATTAAAGTCTTTTAAGCATACATATATATATACACACACGTTACAGTTCTATGTGAAGAAGAAAACGTCATCTAACTGCATTTAATTTTGTAAAAGTGATTAATTGTTGTCTTTCACAAATGATGGTAACTGAGCAATTCCGTTTTGTATATGGGTATTGATCTAATTAAGTATTCATTTCTGTAATTATGATGTAATTAAATTTTTTATAAACAATATTTTTTTTAAATGAGATGCCAAGTGGACCAATAAGTAGAGAGTAAAACCTTACTTATAATATATATATATATATATATATATATATATATGATTTTCCTAAACGAATCAATTATGACAAAAGTAATTTTTTTAAGTGGCATTTATAGATTTTGCCAATTTGTAAAATTGTAAAGACTATATTTTGTTGGGGAAAAATTTCAAGTTATCACATAATTTACTTCTACTCCATCAACTAGCTCAAAATATCAAACGATAGTTTAATATTTTCGTTTACATGTATAAAACTCTTTTTTTTTTTTTTTAAAGTTGGATATACAGTATAATGGTTTGATTGTGATATTTATGAAACAAAATAAGGAATTAAGAAACCCTCCTCGAGGCTCAGCTGATTTATTGTGAAATGGACTGAAAATTGATTACCATAATAGAAGAATGTATCTGCTCTCAAGAAGTAAGTGACGAACGTAATGTTTTCACTTTCCAATTACATTAGAAAGAGACTCAAAGCAAACCATATATAGAAGAGTACATATAAGTATAAACCCCAATGCCTCAAGTCTTTGACTTCACCTGGAAGACCTTTTTAAACACTGATCCAAGCAAAGTTGGAAGATTAACACGATAGAAGAACCAGTCCCAATGTGGCTTGATGGTCTGGTCTGGTTGTAACCTCTCTACAGGTACTTGATCATACCCCGACCTTCCACGCTCACCTTCGTGGCTTGTAACCGCTTCTTCTTTGTTCCTTTTAGCTGCTGAAGTTTCTTGTTCATCTGCAATTATAACACAAAAGAGCCAGCTCAAGGACTATAAGAGAAAAGGAGTAACAAAAGTGTTCACCATACCAAATCAGTAATTAGATGGTGTTTTGTTTGTCAGATATAAAAGGATAAACGGAAGAAGTATTTTACCTTGACCCGACGCTGGTCCTGAGAGCCCTGTTTTGCACGGGCTCTGATCTCATCCGGGTCAATCTTGGATTGAGGACGGATCAAAAAGTCCAATGGGGTTGCTTCCGGCCTCATCGTCATTTGCCTGTCTCCCCTTGAACTCTGACCAGAAGTCAGACCAGTTTTACGTTCCCTGCATATTTATCAACAAACAATGAGTAGTGTTAAACATATCTTTTAGAAGTTCATATATCTACAAATTCGGAAGATTTTTTCCATACCGAATCTCCAAGTCAAAGTCACCATCTCTGGACTCCATTGTCGCTTTGTTGCTAGGTCTATGTGAACCCCAGTAGAACAAGAAGAGAAGCTATGAATCAGTATATGAAATGTAAAAGCTAGTGAAATCGAAAAATTAAAGGTTTTGGGATATACTTCTTCACTGGTGGCCTTCTATAGGGAACCCTATCTTCATCGAGATTTCTCATGTCCTCAAACCTAGTACTCTTGTTGAAAATTGGACGAGACTGCAACAGCAAGAATACAGTAAGCAAATGATTGGAATTTGATTCCAGGGATTGGAGCTATTGGAAAAGATGTTTACCCATTTATCAACCAAATCCTTAGCAAGTCGTCTGTTGGAATTAGTTTCCTCGTCAGACTTTGATAAGAACATAATGACCTGCCAAGGCCAGAACAAATTTAAGTTCCCGAGTATAAATCCTACATACCGGTTCGTCAATTTGTATCAGGTAATGTATCCTAACCTTTCCAAGCCCACTCTTTTTCAATTGCTCCCTTCTATCATACTGGTCCAAGTCAATCGGAAACTGCAAGACAAACTCAGGAATTAATAAAGGAGCTAGAAAGGGTCAAAATCCCACAAAATCTCTCTACTCTAAACAGGAGCATACATCAGTAAGAACTCTAAGAATAGCTGCACGGATGTTTATATTTGGCAAGCTTCCATCTGGAAGAGGCTCAAGCCAATTCTTCAACAGAGTTAAAACTCCATGGTCCAGGAATTCTGTTTGAAGCTGCTTCCTGGATAAAGAAGAATATACGATATTACAAAATAGATCGTTACAAAGAAACTGTATAGGAAAACAGTAAGTTAGCAACTTACTTTCCAAGTACATCGGTAAGAAGCGAAAGTTTCTTAAGCTTGTTAATAGCAGGCTTCCCCCGTCTATTAAGTTCGGCATCTTCCTCAGCAGTAACCTCAAGCTCAGCCATCACATTCTCGACGAAGAGTGCAATTTCCGCAGGATTTCTTTCAGTCTTTTTCTTTTTCTTCCCCATTTTGAAAAGGTTATTCACCTCATCATCGTCCTCACCCTCCTCTGCCTGTTTGTTCATAACAAAAGCATTATGTATCATCAAAAAAAGCTAGACTCAGAGATGAAAATTGAAGATACACTACTCATACCTGAGGATAATGAGTTGGAGAGCGGTCTCCAGCATCACCTCCATACCTCTCAGAAGGATCCAAACCAGTATCATCAATGAAATTATCGTCATCCATAGTCCTAACACCTTCTTCATCATTCTATAACAGAAATTAAACACTTTTATTAGTCGAAAAAAAAAAAAATTCTGTCTCACACAATCTTATAACTATAACCAATCTACTGCACCTCAGGGTTATGAGCAATAGATTTCCACATCTCATCAATCTCTTCTGACTTCCTCTCGCCACGATTCGGAAACTTATGCCTTTTCTCCTTCCCACTACCACTACTACTTCTCTCTTTCTCCTTCTTCCTCTTCCTACCAACCTTATCATCATAATCAGTACCACCACCACCACCTCTTCCTCCCATAAACTCATCAAACTCCGCATCCTCCACATCCTCGTCAATCAATTCAGGAACTTCAATAGTCTCACGTTCACTAGAAGCTTTCTTCACCAACCTCTTCCTCAGTTTAGCTACTGAATCATTATCATAAACAGGTGTTTGTGACCCTTCACCATCCCAATCCCCAATATCATCAGCCAAATCTTCATCAAAATCCTGAAGTGGCTCTGTTGATTGCTCACGATCATTTTCAAAGTCATCAAAGTCCACTATTGGCTCTCCATCTACATCACGGTACCTGGAAACACAAAGGATTTCGAATCAATAGGAGATTAAAAAAATCAAGCTTTTCGTCTGCCCATGAATCAAAATACTCTCTTTGCACAAAAACGAAATCGAAATTTGGAAAATTGAAAAGAGATCGATTTCGGTAACCCTAGATTCAATCAAAGGTGGGATTTTTTTTTCTGAACAACGAAGCTAAAAATATGAAATTGAAGAGAAAGGAGGAGAATTTACGGATCATCCTCGAAACCCATTTCTTCTCAGCTTCCAGAAAATGATTCGAAAGAGAGAATTTACGAATACTTTGATCTTCGAGTTGTGTCGTGAGAGGCGAAGAGGAGGAAGGGAAGGAAGAAAGAATTTGGGATCGGCTACTATGGAAAATTCGACGGCCACGATTGAAGAATGATTTAACAGTTTAGATCTCGCCACGTCATCAATCACTGAGTTAGCAATTAATAAGAATTGAGTATTGACTTCGTGTTAACACAAGTCAAGTCTCTCTAGTCAAAAGAGACAAAACATTAGATTAGTACTTGTCGTTTGAACCGACTACAAAAGACTTTTGATTAGTTTTTAAGTAAATGTTGTTAAGGGTTGGAATCTGCAAAACCAAATTTGGGGAAGTTTATAATCTATATCACAAATGGTTAGGTGTTTTTCTGAATGATTCTATCGTTTAATCCGTATTAAGAGTCTCCATAACTGTTTCCCTTAAGAATGCAATATTGAAATCCTCATGAATATCTATAAAATCCTAACCCTCTTTCCAGAGATGCATATATTATTAGACCAGAGTCAGACAGTCCAATAAATGCATCTACGTGATCTTTTGGAGTTTGGAGTTCCACCAAATAATGAAAAATATTTATATGTGATAAAGTTTTAGTTTAGCATTTCATAAATCATATAAGGTTGAGTCAATATTTATCTACATATTCTACGAAGAAGGAAAGAAAATTGTTTGGAAATGTATAACAAAAAGAAGTAAATAAATTGATTTATTGATAGTGTTCAAATCTTGGTCTGATCTCATGTGTCTCCATTGCCCTGATCTGGAGGTCCAAAACAAGGCTAGGAACGACCATGAGACACACTAAACAGAGGATAATAGAACATTTTGCATCTGGCCCGCAGATTCTGTCTCTCCATTGACTCATTCATCTACATTCGTCAAGTGTTCAAAGTCCTAGTACTCGTGAGTCGTGACTCGTCATGATCTTGACAAATCTAGGAACCTTTCATCATATAATTATCTTGAACGGTTTAGGCTCCTATCCGTGAAACAGTCATGGTCGTTGTCTCTATACCATCTCTAAGTGTAGGAACTGATGAATATAGCATTATGGAAAGCAAAATCCATGTTTAACTAAAGAGAAACAAAATTAGTATCAACTAGTCTTGTTCAGAGGACATTGCAAAAGAAAAGAAAGCAAACTAATCAAAATAAAATGCAAAAATGGATATAAGCTAATATCGTAAAAAAGGGGGTAAGTTAAAATTAATTGTTAGTCTTCTTTTTTCCTGCGCACTGGTAGTGAATTACACCTTGTTGGTTCGCTTCCTCTTCTTATCTTTACTTTTGTGTCCTGCAATTTGGTTGATTTGCACCAAACTTGGAACATAATAAGAGCTGCAGGAGCACACAAGTGGCAAAAAACAATACAAAGATTCTTGGAAGTTTGCAGCTTTTTCAAGATCCACTGTTTTCAAATATTTATTATCTCTAATGATATAAGCAGTAGAGGTTTCAACTTCGTCTGAACTAAAAACCACGGCGACTTTCTTCTCTTCGTCAATGAAGAAACTGTCATCACGATTAGCAAACACAAAGCCAAGACCAATGGGTGGTTTCCTATCAACTCTTAAGAATTTGCTCCACGACGCGGCATTAGGATCAATCTTAATTGTCATCCATATCTCTATCACATATGTATTTTCCCAACATAACACCGCGACTGCGAGTTTCTCTTCTTTGACACAAGATAGAGTCCAAATATAATGTTTAAACGGCAGAGGAAGAATCTGTCCAAATCTCTCTGTTGTAAAATCAAAACACAGTATAAAATCATATCCAGCCCCTCCATTTTTTTTAGCAGAGATAAAATAGGTGTTTCCTTTTAACGACGTGTAGCGCTCACAACAATATATCTGCCAGTTGGGAATGACATTAGATAAACTCCATGAATTAGACTTCAAATCGTAAATTTCGTAGTAGCCTTTACGATCGAAAAACCTTAAGATTTTGTGGTTCTTGTTGTTGTCGTATCCAAGAGCATACTTGGCGCCTTCGCGGTAATCGTTTTTAGGTTGGATCCACCTGGTTTGTCCCAAATACGGGTTCCAAACTACGAGCTTCCTTTTGTTGTTCATTGTGACACATAACCAATAAAAGTTATTTTCACGTTTAGTAATAAAATGAGTTTTTCTCTCACCATTTGGCAAAGTCAAATTGAACTCTCACTATTTGGCCATTTGAGTTTTTTCTGACAAAAATGCCCTCATAACTGTGTTGGTTATAACAGTGTTGGTTTAGTTTGTTCTACAACTAAACTACGTAAAAGACAAAAATAGTTATATATATATATATATATATATATATATATATATATATATTTTTATTTAAATATATATAAAAGTTTAGAAAATCAAAATTTATGTAAAAAGAAACGAAATAGCTCGAGAACAAAGGAGAGTTGTTCTTTATCATAAAATTGAAAAAAATTTGTTTTAAATCTAGAATTAGATGGTGAAATAATTGATTTTACTTCATTATCAACTAGAGAGATTAGATCCTACCAAAAAAAAAAAAAAAACTACAGAGATTAGAGTTAAACAGATTAAGAGATTTCCTGCAAGTTGGAGGAAAATGAGAAAATTGTGAAAAATTAATTGTTCTTCCAACGTTATCGATTTAACAACGAACAATTAAACAAAACTCAAAGTGTTTAGCTTTTCAAACATAAATTATGCTAGATTTACAATACTTATATGTAAAAAACATTCAAAACATAAAGAAAACAAGATTATGAGATAACTACTAACGATGGCTGCAAAATTAGGGTTGCAGAAAAGGATTCTTAGGTTGAAGATGACTGTCAAATTACAATTTTGTCCTTCATTGAATATTTTCTGTGTACGTATGCAATTTAAGGTGTACGTAATATTTATTGAATTAGTACATTAGAAATCTTTGGTTATTTTGATTAACATTTCATAACATAGCTTACAAGAATGTTAATGTTATGAAATGTTAACATAATTTATACTCCAACTACCGAGTATGAATAACGATTACATCATTTACAATGATTTGACACTGCTAACTTAGTAAACAAACACTTATGTCTCACCATTCGGACATTAGTTAAATCGTCTAAGACGACTGAAGCTTCATCATTATCGAGTATCTCCGTCTCATAGTTAAAAATGTAGATAAGTCATTATACACTTCGTAAGACTCTTTTTCACAATCTTCGAATACCAAACTCCACACCATTACCATTCACTTCACATATACCATGCTCATCTATATTCGTGTACGTCAAACATTTATCTTTACATATTTTATCAAGTACACAGTCAGTAGTGTACGTACATTCTTACAAATCATATCTTACCTCCCAGTTAGAACTAATAGATAGTTGAATGTCACGATTCTAGTGATATTTTTTCAATTATGTAAACGTTAATTAGGGAATGTACACGTTTGTAATAAACGATTGAATTTTCCTATTGGTCCCACGGTCGGTTGAGTGTCACCAGCGTCTCCGAAATGTCCATATTTCTCAACAACAAAATCAGTCCACTTGTGTAATCGTAATCTTTGCCATTACCTTCATTACTGTCCATAGTCGGTTTTATGATATCCATCGTTTCCTCGTCTTCTTCATCAATATTTTAGCCATCCTCCTTTTCGTCGTTATTATCCTCTTTCTCCTCATCCTCTTTATCGTCCTATACTTCTTCTTCTTCATCTACATCCTCATCATTTTATCCACATTTGAAACCTTAAATATGGTTTTTGTTGTGTTTTCACCCTGGTCTTCGGGTAGTTTTATCACCATGGTCCTCTATCGTGCACATACTATTTACATATTTCTTAACGGTTGGACAAAATGACAAAAACATGTTTACACATCCCCACTACGGATAAAAAAAAATGCATTCAAGCTCATTCGATTGTCAATGTAGACAGAAGGGCATTTATATTAAATCATGATCCACATCATTCTAGGCATCCAGTAACTAATTTTTGGAATAAACTCAGTAGAGTTCAACCTAAACACCTCACATAACGTGCATGACTGACAATGTACGTCATATTTTCTATAACACGTACACACCTACTTAAAAAAAGTTCTCAAGTAAAATTTTTAACTATTCTTCTTTTATGAATCTCTACTCACTAACAATAATAAATACATGAATTTTCATTAACACATGCATCATATATTCAAAAAATACTTTACATTTATATAATTTTTTAAACGTGTACGTACACATAAGCATAATCTTTATTATGTACATATACATACGTACATGATAATTTTAATTTTAAATTTTTTACTAACAACAATTTATAGTAAAACAAAAAATTATCATTCAAAGTATATAATTTCTTTTTTAGAATATGGATCTTAAACGAAAGAAAAAAATTAATTATAAACTAAAGTACAAAAATAAAAATAGTGAAAATGTGAAAAATGTGGAAAATAAAACATGGTCTTCCGCTTCACCACCATGTAATGAAAAAAACTCATTATATACTTCGTAAGCCTCAACTGTGGTAATTAGCCGATTATCATTTAGTACTCCACTTGCTGAACCTCTAATACCACACTCGAGAACATCATCTCCAGTAACTTCGTCGCTACCATTAATATTGGTATCTGTGTACGTAACAAAATCACCTTCGCATCATGTCTCTTGCACAAAGTCGCTAGTGTACGTACATTGGTACAAACCATGTCGACATGTACGTGTTGGAGTCACGGTTGGTGTACTCTCACCGAAATGAAAAATGTTATCTCTTCCAGGTACACGCTGACTTGTGTACGTACACTCATGTATGTTCAACAGTCTGTTGAGTGTGAATGACATCCTCCTAAACATTCCCAATTCTATATTCTTCTACAATTATATCATTCCACTTGTTGTAATCGTAATCTTCGCCACTACCTTCACTACCGTCTATAATAGTATCGAGGGTACTTTCCCCCATAGATCCATCGTCGCCATGATGATCATCATACACTTATACACATCATCCTCTTCGTTGTCCTCATCCTCTTCATCCTCATATATTTTATCGTCCTCAACGTCGTCTTGCTCATCTACGGCCTCATTATTTTTATCCACATTTGAAGCCTCTACAATGGTTTTTAGTTTCTCTGCACTTCCCGACACACGGTCACTTTCAGCATCGTGGCCATCAGTCCTAACGACAGTATTCCCGTCTACCTTGACGGTTGTAATAAAAGAGACAAACAAGTTAACACTATGATCCCCACCACGAATCAAAAAGAATGTACTGATTATCAATGTAGACATGAGGGCGTTTACTTTCTATCATCATTGATATCTTTCTCGACATCCAGTAACTAAATATAGGATTGTATTCAGTGGACTTCAAACTGAAATCCTCACATAATGTACGTACAAATTCCGTGTACGACATGTTTTTCTTAACACGTACACACTGACCAAACCTGCCTTCCTCTGGTTCGAATTTCCATTCTTATTCTTTGCATCTCCACTCACATGCATCATAAATTCATCAGAACCCCATAAAAGGCAACTGAAATCATGATTTATATCTACAAAAACAAAAAGAATTTCCAACTACACACTTTAAAAATACTAATACAGTAGAACATATATAAATCAATACTCGATAAATTAATAAACACTATAAATTAATAAAATTGTCCGGTCCCAAGTCGGGCCAATGTAAAATTTGACAAAATTAGATAAGATAGTAAGATAATAATTTTTTTAGAATCTCTATGTAAATATATGGTCCCATTAATATCCTAAATTAATAATTATGTAAATATATATATATATATATATATATATATATATATATATTTACAAGTTGTTATAATAAGGTATGCTTTTAGTTTTTTTTTATTAAATGGAATTTTCGTTAGAACATATGTCTAACTTTTATTGAATAAAACAATTGGTCTATTGTGATTTTAAATTATAGTGGTGTAGTATACTCTATAATTGTATCATAAAATAGTCAAAATTTTCTGTAAGTTTTTAATTTTTGAATATGCATCATTTTCATTACAATAGTCTTATAGCAGTTAAAATATGATAATTGAGGTCATTAATAATAAATTTGAATTTACGTATATCGTTTTGTATAAATAAATTCATCTATAGTCTTTGTAATTTTATTGTCTAATTTATTTTTGAAAAAGTTTTTTGAAACTGTTAAAATTTCAAGTCCAAAACTATAAAATTTATAAATTCATTTCTTTCTAAAATTTTAAGAATTAAAACATATCTCTTTATAATTTAATAAATATTAATTTACAATAAAAATTAATAAATAGATAAATTAATATCATTATAAATTAATAAAATATCATGGTCACAACCCATGTTTAAAAAATCGCTAGGCGCTAGTCGGGCGGTGAGAGTGGGCCTAGCGCCTAGCAAAAAAATCGGAGATTAAGCAGGGATTAATCGGGGACTAGTTTTAAGGCTATTTAATATTTTAAAAAAATATTAATCCATTATAAATAAGAAATTTATATAATCTTGTTTTTAAAATTGCATTAAACACATGAAAACAAGAATTTAAGGTCAAACTTATGAATTTTATACAAATTATAAACATAAGTGGGACGTTTTAAATTTTAGATCCAAAAAAAATAAAAAATTGGGCTAGGCGCCGTCTAGGCGGACGCCTAGGCGGTCTAGGCGGAAAAAAATCGGATCACCGATTTTTTTTACCGATTTAGACAAAATCGCCGCGGTCCCCACCAGATCAGCGCCTAGGCGGCCGATTTTTAGAACAGGGGTCCCAACAATATTAATTTATAGAGGTTTTACTGTATATCCTCATTTAGCATTTGCAACAAAACAAAAAAATAAATAAAATTTTCTAGATTTTTATAATAAAAACAATGTTGTTTTCGTACAGAGTCAAGATCTAAGTGTGTTATAAAAAAAACTTCTTAAACGACTTCATTACTTACACTATCAATGCTTTTCTTGTCTTCAAACTTTGTAAAACAACAAAATCAAAACTTCTCCAGCATCACATTCGTTCATATAAATTTGTTTGATTTTTTTTCTTGTTTATCTCTTCCCTAAAATTATTCATGTACGTATAAACAAATATTACAAGAGGTAATGATGAGTTTGCATTAATTAAAGTGGGCAATAGTCATGTCTAAACTTTTTGGGCATTTAATCCTGATGTCACATAGTTTTTTAATGTTATTAAGGCTCCATTTTCACTGTACAGTCGCAAAAAATAAATAAAAAACGAAAATATCTGATCCCAACGATAAACACTGTACATAACTGAACCGTGTAACTGAACCGCGTAACTGAACCGTACACGGAACAATATATCGTTACGCTGGCAGGGGTATTTTGGTCAGAATTTGGCATAATTGTCAAAACGTGAGAGGTGATGCTCACTTTGCCAAACCGTGAAAATAAAACATGGTTTTATGCCCTGCCCTGAAAATTATCCTAACAATAAACCGTCACAATAAAAGATTTTAGACATCAAGACTTGATTAAGTAAATTGCCTATTGGCTTTATTGACGGATCAACAAACTCTTCACCGTCTTCGTTGAGGCCTATTCTATGGAGATTGAATCTCATTGAGAAAAGCCTTTGATCCATCATCGTAAACCCTAAAAACTGATGCCTTGCTTCTGCTTTACATAAAATTCGATTTTTCGATAAAGTGTTCCATCCTTTGCAAGTGGATCTCACTGCTCCTAGAGATGTCATCGGAAGCCTAGACAATATCTCTTCTACCAAATCCTGTGAAAGATCGGACATCATCGCCATTGTTTTCAAATAGAAAACTAGGGTTAACGTTGACGCTTGCGACTCTTTTACACGATTGTATATGCATAAGAAGACTTGGCTCTTTTTTTTTTTTTTTTAATATATAACTTTCACAAAGATAAATATGTGGTTATATTAGATTAACAATTTGGAAAACTGTTTCTTTCTATATAAGTAAAATGGAAATTTCCATTACGAAAGCCTTTTTTGAATCTTGCTCTATTTTTAATTTCTACAACACAACAACCATGTTATGAAAAAGAGTAACAATTGTTTTTTCTCTACAAAACCTCTTAACATATCCAAGCGCCTATATCGGTGTTTTTGAGAAATTTATTTTTGTTGTGGGATAGAAGAAGTTAATTCAAGTGGAGTAGAACTTTCTCGAACGCGTAATTTTTCTATGAAATTATTCTTAAGTAAATTGTGTCTTTTTAAGTGGTGAATTCAGAGAAGACTGGTTGTTTCAAATGTAGTAATATGATCAAAATTGAAAATAGAGACCAAAAAGGAACTTTTCTACAGCCAGTTTCTGATCAGCTAGGACTGTAGTTTCGCTAAATAGAAACAATATAACAATTGATTAGTCTTGTTCAAAGGACATTGCAAAAGAATAGACAAAATACCACAATATTAAAGAGTTGTATAAAGATTACAGAGCCTATGTAAATCCAAAACAAACTTAAGTCAGTAACAATAATTCTTATTGCTAATAATGATCAATTTATTTGTTTCTTCCATTGCTTATCCCGGAAGCGAGCCCACTGAATACAAATTTAACAATTCTCAAGAACGGTCTCGATATCAGCGACGTTATTCTTGCTCGGTTTTGTTTTCAAAATATTGTGAGGCGGTAATAGATACTGTCAGTAATGCTGGTTAAGTGAGGATGTCATTATTGATTAAGCCCCACGCAGCTTCTATCAAACTACATTTACATTACTCTTAATCCTACTCAAGTAAGTATGTAAGTTCCACTTTATCTCTTCCTACTGACTGTTTTCTCAGCCCGATGTTGGTTAGTAGTCACTTTGCGAAAGCATTCTATTTCGAATGCAGAAATCTTAATCCTCTTCTAGTACAATTTCGGTTTTAGAATGGAATAAGTTCGTTTCCTTCTAACAAAAGAGATGCTGTTCAACCATAAATGTGACCAACAACATCCTGTGACGACAGCTGAATTTCAAGTGAAGAAAGACAGCTTGTAGTGTAAGAGAACTGATTTTAGACCCTCGTTACTTTCTGTTCTTATCATTGTTACGTTGCTTCATTATATTCTTTGGAGACATTTTTTATGGTTGTGTCCTATTTTTTTAGCACATGGTTCTGATTCAGAAACAAAGTAATAATTGACTATTAATCTTGTTCAAAGGACATTGCAAAACCAAAAAAAAAAAACAATAAGATGCATGAAAATGAAATGCAAGAATTATCATCAATTAGTCTTCTTCTTTCCTTCAACTGGTAGTGTTACACCTTATTGGTTCGCTTCCTCTTCCTCTTCTTATATTTCCTTTCATGTTCTGCAATTTGGTTGATTTTCACTACACTTGGAACATAAGAGCAAGAGCACACAAATGGCGAAAAATAAAACATGCGGTCGACCTCGACAGATTCTTGGGGGTTCACAACTTCATCAAGATCCACTTCTTTCAAGCATCCATTATCACCAATGATGTAAACTATATTGTAGCGTTCAGATTCATCTAAATCGAAAAGCACTGCGATTTTCTTCTCTTCTTCAATGAAGAAACTGCCAACATCATCGTGAAACTTAAGACTAGTGAATGGTTCCATATCAACTGCTAAGAATTTGCTCCACGACACCTCATTCGGCTCAATCTTAGTTGTCACCCATATCTCCGTCTCAAATGTCTCGTAGCGGTGATATAATGCCGCGAGTTTCTCTCCATTAACACAAGATAGTCTCCCAGTCTCCGTAAAATCATGCGAAAACGACAAAGAAAGAAGCTGCCCAAATTTCTCTGTTGTAAAATCAAAACCGAGTAAGCAATCACACCCTTCCATAACTTTTCTTGCATCAGTCAAAAAATAAGCATTTCCATTTAACGACGTGCCGGGCTGATAAATTTTTAACCCCCTGATGGGAATGACATAAGACAAACTCCACGAATTAGACTTCAAATCGTAAATTTCGTAGGAGCCTTGTCCAGCAAAAAACCTCAAGATCTTGTGGTTCTTGTTGTTGTCGTACCCTAGAGCGTATGTAACGCCTATGTGGTAATCATTGCTAGGTTGGATCCACCTAGTTTGTCCCAAATAGGGGTTCCAAACTACGAGCTTGCTTGAGTGGTTCCTTGTGACGCATAACAATAAACCTTCGCAATAAAAGACTTTAGATATCTCGACCTGATTAAGTATATCACCTATTGGCTTTATTGATGGATCAGTGAACTCTTCACCGTCTTCGTTGAGGCCGATTCCATGGAGATTGAATCTCATCGAATAAAGCCTATGATTCATCATCGTGAACCCTAAAAACTGATTTCTAGCTTCTGCTTTACATAAAATCCGGTTTTTGGATAAAACGTTCCATAGTTTGCACGTGGATCTCACTGCTCTTAGAGAAGTTATCGGAACCATACACAATATCTCTTCGACCAAATCATGTGAAAGATCGGACATCTTCGTCATTGTTTTCAAAAAGAAAATTAGGGTTAACTTTCACGCCTGGCACTCTTTTTTACGATTGTATATGTGCATCAGAAAATCAGAAGACACGCCTTCACCACTAGCTAGGGTTTTTCTTTTATTTTTATTATTCTTTTTTTTTTGGCTCTTATTTTCATAAAGATTAATGTGGTTTATTTTGCATAAAAAATTATAGTTCTCCATATTAGATTGTGAAAAACTAAAAACTTTCTTACTAAGTTAGTAAAATGGAAACTTCCGTTTATGAAAGCATTCTTGCTATATTTTTAACAAGCCACGATACCAATCGAGAAAAAGAGTAATTAACTTACAACTGTTTCTATCTAAGTGCTACTCCAACCAGTGACTTATAAGCTTTGCTTGAAATATTTTATGAGTTGAACTATTGATACTTGATATTACAAACATCTTCACTTTAACAATTTCAAGCGGTTGTTACTCTATACATGTGTTTCAAGATCTCGAGTTTAAAGGGGGAGTACTAATTGGTATCGTGGTTTTTTAAGCATACAAAAGTATTTACATTGAAAAATCTTCTAACTATACACGATTATTTTTCCATCTTACGCCTTCATATCATATATATATATATATATAACGATAAAAGTAGCATGTTCTTTCTAATCTATAAATCCTAAGAAACTAAACTGAGGATAAGAAAGAAGAAAAATATACAAGTTTATGATTCTTAACTCAAAGTATGATAAAGTCAATCATGGTTTGGAGGTGGTGGATTTGAAAGAGCGTCTCCGATGGTTTATAACCCCATATAGATATCTAAACATTAAAATATTAATAATTTAATTTAGTTAATTTAGTTATACAATGAAATTTTAAGTTCTTAAATTTATATAAGAACCTTGAGGAAAAAAAAAAAAAAAAATTATATAAGAACCTCAACTCACTTAGATTTCAGAATCAAGTTAAATAGTTACAAATCTGATAATTTCATCAACAGAATAGACTCATCCGACTCTTCTGCTTACGCAAGAAGCAAACATGTTTTTAAGCTATAAAAAATGCACTAGACACATTTGTACATGTAGCAGTCGCTATAGCTAACAGTGCCAGTTCATCTCTAATCGCCCTATCCTTATCCTCATAGGTTTCAAAGCCAACAAGAATCAAAGGTTGGTAAGTAGCATAACTTCTCATCTAAGGCATCTACTGATGCAAACAACCAAGTCATTTAGAGTCAAAACTAAAGTGGTCGCCTCTAGGTTAGTAAGTAACATAACTTGATCATCCTGTGAAATAAATCAACACATGATTAAGAACGAATAAGTGTGTCAAACATCATATGATTAAGAATCCCTATAAGCATACTTAAGATCTTAATGATAGCCTAGATCCGACACCAAACTCTGAAGTTTCTTCGAGGCACACGATCCAAAAAAAAAATAACACGATCCAAGATTCGTCTAATCGTCTTACGTTTGCCTTACACGCAAAAAGGTCTCCAGTTCGATCCTGGGCAGCACCAAAATTAAAAAAATAAAAAAAAATCGTCTTACGCTTTTGCAAAAGAGAAAAAACAAAACTCACGTGTACAAAATTGATAGGACAAATAATCAAAAATGTGGGTACAAAAATGTTATCGAGGGATTTTACGGGGTTAATTTCATAACTAAGATAAAGATCTGGGGTTAATTTTAAATAGTATATTCCCTGTCAAGCCCACGCAGCTTCCTCCTCCTCTTCCCCGTCAGAAACACGACACCAAAAAACTTGTACCTCTAAAATTCCCTCTTTTGATTCTCTCAATCTCACTCTAATTTCTGCAAAATTAAAGCTTTTTGATTCATTTCACATCTCTATTTTTCCTCAGATTTCTCAAACATTGCAGATCTTCAGGTAAATTTTCCACCGATCCATAGTTTTAATTAAGTTTGAACAAGAATTCAATAACAGTCTAGTTTCTTACATTGCACAGATTCTGGAATCGTCGTAGTTCTTTAGATTTTGTGTTATTGTCTCTTTATTGGCTTCTCTGCCATTATTAACTTAAAAGCGAGGTTTTTTATTTGCATCCTGAGATAAAAATGTAACCTTTTTAGCTTCTGGGTTTATTAGTTCAAATATCTGATTGTTTGTATTTGGTAGGTTTTTATTTATAAGCAGTGAAGCGTTCACTAGTTGTTTAGAAGTTGGTGAATGTGATTAATGGGTAGTAGTGAGATGGAAAAATCAGGTAAAGAGAAAGAAACTAAGACTCCACCGCCTTCGTCTTCTTCTTCTGCTCCTGCTACTGCTGTTTCACAGGTTTGCATTTGGTGTAAATTTGGTATAGCAAAGTGGTTGTGTTAGTGTCAGGCTTTGATGTTTAATGTTGTGTGATTGTAGGAACCTTCTTCTTCTGTGAGTGCTGGAGTGGCTACTCAAGATTGGTCTGGTTTCCAGGTCTAATACGAGATTATTCTTTGTCTTTCTTGTTTCTTTGTTGCGTTTAGGTGTTATGTGACTCATGTTTTTCTTGTTGAACAGGCTTATTCTCCTATGCCACCTCATGGTTACGTAGCATCAAGTCCTCAACCTCACCCTTATATGTGGGGCGTTCAGGTATATCGAATTGTTTTTAGATGGTTTTAAGCATTCTTTTGAGCTTTAGGGGATTACTTGACGAGTCACAAAACTTTTACTATATTTATTTGCATATTTGGGAATTGGGATACATTATCTTGGTCACTTGTGTAGATTTAATGGAGAGTTTTTTCTACCATATATAGTTCGTTAGGTTCTCCATAACAATTGTGCTGATTAATGGACGTAACATCAACTTAAGACATTGTTATTTCCTTTTGTAGCATATGATGCCTCCTTATGGAACACCGCCTCATCCATACGTTGCAATGTATCCTCCAGGTGGCATGTATGCACATCCTTCATTACCTCCGGTACTGTTACAGTTTGGATCTCCGGTTATGTACTCAAATAGTGAATGTTTTTGTAGTTTCTGTTAACATGTTCCGTGCTGCAACAGGGGTCTTATCCATATAGTCCCTATGCAATGCCTTCTCCTAATGGAATGGCTGAAGCTTCTGTAAGTTTTCCCCTTTATCATTTTTTCGTTTAGAGTAGTCTGGGTCGGATGGGATCTTGTTTGAGGAATGTTTTGGATTCAGGGTAATACTGGTAGTGTTACTGAGGGTGATGCCAAACCATCTGATGGGAACGAAAAATTGCCTATCAAAAGATCAAAAGGAAGCTTGGGAAGTTTGAATATGATTATAGGAAAGAAGAATGAAGCTGGAAAAAACTCAGGAGCATCTGCTAATGGAGCTTGTTCTAAAAGGCATGTGACTTATGATTGCTAGCTATGATAATGGTGCTCGGTTGAAATTGTTGAATTGTCTGATTTGTTCTCGGTTTAACAGTGCTGAGAGCGCTTCTGATGGATCAAGTGACGGAAGTGATGCAAATTCACAAAACGTAAGTTTCCATCAATTCATTATAAATCATTGCGTTGGATTTCATTTGGGAAATAAGGAGCATTTATGAATATGATCATGGTATTGATTTTTGTAGGACTCTGGCTCTAGACACAACGGGAAGGATGGTAAGCTAATATAGCTTTTTCGTTCTCATCGCTTAACATTTAATGATCTAAATGTTAGATTCTGCTTATTTAGAGATTGGTCTTTCTTATTTCGTAATTCAAGGTGAAACAGCTTCAGAGAGTGGTGGTTCTGCTCATGGACCACCCCGTAATGGAAGTAATCTACCGGTGAACCAGACCGTCGCAATCATGCCAGTGTCGGCTACAGGTGTTCCAGGCCCACCAACAAATCTAAATATCGGAATGGATTATTGGAGCGGTCATGGGAATGTTTCTGCAGCAGTTCCTGGAGTTGTAGTAGATGGGTCCCAATCACAGCCATGGTTACAGGTTTGTGTAAGTATATCCTCCTCTTACTTCTTCTCTATGGCTATTCAAGTAGCGTGTTTGATTGTTTTGTGAATTCAGGATGAGAGAGAGCTTAAGCGACAGAGACGGAAGCAATCCAATAGGGAGTCTGCTCGTAGATCCAGGTTGCGTAAACAGGTAACATAAACATATTTCTTGAAGCCACGCTAGCATCACCATGCCTATCGAGCATGAATATCAAAAGCTTTTCCTTTTCTTTTCTGTGTTCAGGCGGAGTGTGATGAGCTAGCACAACGAGCAGAGGTTTTGAATGGAGAAAACTCAAGTCTTAGAGCAGAAATTAACAAGCTCAGAAGCCAATATGAAGAGCTTCTTGCTGAAAACAGCTCTCTCAAGGTAAATTACAATAAAATCTTCTTCTAACACATCTATAATTTGCTTGAACATAGATTGAAAGTTCATGTTTTCTCTCATACCCGTTCTTGCAGAATAAGTTTTCGTCAGTCCCGTCACTAGAAGGAGGAGACTTGGACAAGAACGAGCAAGAACCACAGAGAAGTACACATCAGGATGTTGCGTAGACCACTCGTGGTTCCGTCAACAACTCAGCTTGACTCAGAGAACAGCAGCTAACAGATCTTTGTAATTTTAGGAACCAGATTTGGTGAGGTTTCTTTAGTGTTTAAACTTTGATGGTGCGTTTAAGTAGGAGGAAGCAGGAAATAATAGTATCTTCTTTACCAAATTGTGTATATATTTTCTGCAGATTTTGTGCTTTTTTTTTTGTCTCAAAAAAATAGATTCTAGACGCATTGAGTTCAGCGATTGCGTTTGGGTGGAATAGAGAGAAACGCAAACGCTAATGTTCATCTTTATAAAGTTATAAACCCTTTGTTTGTAGAACTCAAATGTTAAATGGTTTTATGCTAATGTGGATTGTGTTTGTGGTCTGTAGTTTACTAATTTTTAAAATTATTTTTTAATTTTGCTGTTAAATATTTAGGCTATTTTCAATGTTTTTCTTAATATATATATATTTTTTGTCCAATTACAGTATATGGTATATACATATTTCCCAAAGGTATTACAGAATGGGTTCAAGATAAAGTATTCATACAATTTTCAAGATTGTTTTTCTGGGTTAATTTTTCTTAGATATTTTTAGGAAATAAAGTTTCAAGAAATAATCTTTTCGTTTGTCTAATATTTTGTTTATTTATTATTATTATTATATGCGTATGTTTTGTTTTTGACGACTCTGTAACAAAACCTGAGCCACAATTTCGTAGTCTTCTTCTCAATCTCTGAGTACTTTTCGAAATATCAAAAGAGAAAGGAAAAAAAAAAATGCAAGCCATCGGCAGCAGCCATGGGAGGAGGCTGTGCTTCAACCATTATCTCTCCGATTCCTTCTCCAAGTTCCTCTCTCCTTCTTCTTCTCCTTCCCTTCTCCCTCAGGTAATCTCTACTTCAATCTTTATTAGGTTAGGTTTAAATTCTCTCAAACGCTTTAGTATAGAATCGATTTGATTCCAGTTTTCTTGTGGCTTCGTTTTTAAATTTACAGAGATGCCATTCGTTTTGTATCCCCAAGCTTGGAAGTAGTAGTATCAATGAGAATGGCAGAGGAAGAATTGTGACAGTGAGAGCTTCAGGAGAAGAAGATTCTAATGGCAACTTTGCTCCTCTTGCTCCTGTTGAGCTTGAATCTCCTGTAGGACAGCTTTTGGAGCAGATTCTTAGAACTCATCCTCATTTGTTACCCGTTACTGTCGATGAGCAGCTCGAGAAATTCGCCGCAGAAAACGAGACTCTTAAAGCCGATTCGTCTGCTACACAAGACATTCTCCAAAAGTAAGTCTTTTTGATTCAGTATATTACTGGTTTTGAGTGAGAGCATATTACAAAGTTAGTGAAATTTTGGGAATAAGTCTCTTGCAATGGTTATGTACAGAACTTTGGCTTAGATAACGTATTGATCGAGTCTACATATAGGCTTGACTCTATTTCAAATTCACTAGAATGACCGGTTTCAGATCCTTTAATTCACTAGCATGACCGGTTTCAGATCCTTTATATCGCTTATATGCCACCGAAAACATTCTCTCTATCTAAGTCTTGAGTGAGAGAAGTTTTCACCAGCTTCTATCGATATATCACACTAATGATACATCATTTGGCTATAAGTCTCTTGCTATTTTTAACCTGAGAGAATCTAGGCTTGGATTTTGTATTGGTTGAGTTTACGTGTGGGCTTTATTCGATTTCATTCTCTTACAAGATGTCGTTGTGTGCTTGATTTGCAGGAGGATATCTGAAGTTAGAGATAAGGAAAGACGTAAAACTTTAGCGGAGATCATTTACTGTTTAGTGGTACAAAGGTTTGTGGAGAAAGGAATCTCTATGATTCCTCAGATTAAACCAACTTCAGATCCAGCAGGACGGATAGACTTATGGCCGAACCAAGAAGAGAAGCTCGAAGTCATTCACTCTGCGGATGCGTTCGAGATGATACAGAGTCACTTGTCTTCAGTTCTTGGGGATCGAACAGCGGTTGGTCCTTTAAGCTCTATAGTTCAGATAGGCAAAATCAAACTCGGAAAACTCTACGCTGCTTCAGCCATGTATGGCTATTTTCTTAGAAGAGTAGACCAAAGATACCAACTTGAGAGAACCATGAACACACTTCCAAAACGTCCTGAGAAAACCAGAGAACGATTCGAGGAACCCTCGCCTCCTTACCCGTTATGGGATCCAGATTCCTTGATCAGGATCCAACCAGAGGAATACGATCCTGATGAATACGCGATACAAAGAAATGAAGACGAGTCATCGTCTTATGGATTGAGGTCATACGTTACATACTTGGACTCAGATACGCTTCAGAGATACGCCACGATACGGTCTAAAGAAGCCATGACTCTGATTGAGAAGCAGACTCAGGCGCTCTTTGGGCGACCAGACATAAGGATACTCGAGGACGGTAAGCTCGATACTTCTAACGACGAGGTTCTGTCTCTGAGTGTCTCAGGACTTGCGATGTTGGTTTTGGAGGCTGTGGCTTTTGGGTCTTTCTTATGGGATTCAGAGAGCTACGTTGAATCCAAATACCATTTTCTCAAGGCTTGAGTTTAGTCCTCCTTGACATTTGTCCTTTTTGAGAGTAGTGAATATGTAAATGTTAAATCTCTCATCATGTAAAATCGGTAGCAACTCATATATTCGTAAAATGTAATAAACTACACTTCAAAACTTTAGATTCAAATCAAGCATTATAGCTCAAATTTCAAATCTTTACGTAGATCATTGTAGTCTTTTTTTTTCTCTAATATTCAAATTTCTCAATTTTTATCCTGTGGTTAAATTAAAGTATTCAAGTGGTTTCAAATCCCATTAATATACGTTTTACGATTTAAATAAATTGAACTTTTTGTAATGAAAATCATTAGTATATCAACTTGGACACGGTACCACAAGCGCACAAAACTTGCATAATAATTAATCTTAAAAACATTATCATTATCCAATGTGTATGTATATATTTTTCCCACAAATAAGTATGGAGATGATTACATGACACACCCCACCATATGCACTTCTCGTAACCAATTTAGTCATGTCTTGTGTGTTGTAAGGTTGTAACAACATTATTATTATTGGTTAAATATCATTTTCCAATAATTTTGTTAGAGAAAAACATCCTCAATTATTGTTATGTGGATTATGTTTGTACTATATAATATGGATCAAGACCCTAGTGAGCTGCATATTATAAGAAGCATCTTCGAATAGATAATGTTCCTAGGCTCCTAGCTTCATTTTGAAGGCATCTTTAAAATCGATTTATGTATATATACATACATAAAACTGATATTGAGAAGATAATCATAACTCTACTATATACTAAAATATTCGCAATCCAAAATAAAAATTATATAAATCCTCATTGTTTTCTTTAAGACTACATAGAGCTAAAACCTGAAACATAGATTATTCAATTATTAGAGTTTCAGTTTAAAATAACAATAAGTGTATAGTGGAGTTTAAATATTCTAAGTAAACTCTCTCACTAGTAATGATGAAATCCACATGCAAATGCTCTTGTATAAAGGTCAACCCTCTCTAGAAGATGATGCAGTTGGGTTCTTCCTTATTCAATACCTTAAAGACTTTCTTATTCTTCTCTAATTGGTTGATGATTGCTGAATCTAGACCTTGTTTTTAGTTTCCCTATTTGACCCATTTGTGTATATACGTATACAATTTTTGTTTGTTATTAGCCGGTGAATGTTTTGGAATACAATTATGGTGTTCTTAGTAAATTTAGCATCTCTATCACACCAAAAAAAAAGAAAAAGCATCTCTATAATTTAAAATGACAGATGAAACCAAATTTTAGTATGTTCTTAATGAATTTAGACAGAAAACACATTTTTAAAAAACATAGCAGCTTACCAAAAGAATTTTATTTTTATATATTCCGTTTTGTAAGTTTTTTTCCATCCTTTTTTTTTTTTGATAAACCCTATCGGCTATCCGGTCGGCCCCGGTAGGAACGCACCGTGGTGTTACATAGTGGACTGGTCCACCGTGTTAACGGTTAGGCCCTTACGGGCTACCACTCTGGCTATCCCGAGTTTGGAATGCCTTCCGACTAAGTGCCAGGGGTAGTCAGGCCGCCTGCATTTCTGGCTACCAGGTAAACCAATTGGGCCAAAGCTCAACTGACAGACTTCCCAAACAAATGTGTTTTTGTTTCCAGGGAGAATCGAACTCAGGTTTGGGAGTTTCATCATTTCCCAAAGCTTCCTTTGCCACTAGACCACAGATGCTTGGGCGTTTTTTTCCATCCTTATCTTTCCACTTCATAAATTCTTCGTTGTTGCGATTCTTGTCATCACTTTGATGTTTCTTTTTTTCCATTGTTCGCTCGACAGAACTACTTTTGGTATAAGTACATATATATATATACTTTGACAACAAAAATATAATATATAACTTAGTTTGGAAAACGGACGTCGAATAGTTTGGAAAGAGTTTCGAACCATTTTAACAACTCCTATGAACCAATTGAATGTAAAATGAATAATCTCTTTTTTCTCTTTTTATGACAACAAGTAATCTCTATATTCTAAAATTTGATCTAATTGTACCCAAACTAGTTATTGACATGTTTTCGAAAAGTAAGTTAATTAATTTATAAGATGACCTAAGGTAATTAACTAAGGTTTCAATCATCTTGGACTAATTCCTTCACTAAAGAAATTACGAAAACCACATTATACCTTAATTATGCCCGATGTAAAAGTTAAAATAATTGATTCATTTATAAATTTATAAAAATGAAAAGAAATATGCATCAAGTTTATGAAACAATTATATATAAGAATATTCTAATGGTAATGGATAATGTCAAAATAAACAAAGAAACATATGTAACGTTTGTTAGCTGAGTGCAGAAGCTAGCAGACAATTGAACACTGCGGGCCATTAGTGATTGTGTGTACAGATGGTAATGGAATCACTCTCTGTCTCTCAAAGAAAAGAGAAAAGGCAAAAAGAAAAAGAAAGATTGCTTCCTTCGTAATAGTACTATGGAAATTAAATTTACCCTCCAAATTTTATATTTTATCAGTTGACAAAAAAGATATTTTATATATTAATTAGTAAGAATATATGTGCCTTACTTTGTTATATATTTTTCAATATAGAAAATGATCGGATAAATTATAATTGTTTAATGCCAATGATATACTGTTTTTAGAAAATGATTCAACTATATGTACATTCTACACAATCAAAAAATATAAATTGTACGTAATGAAGAACCACCTTATCATTCATTCACCTCCTAGCTAAATCCATTTTTCTAAGATTAAATGATACCCCGAAAACATATTTCAACTATAACCAGTTATGAGTTTTTATACACAAATAATCAGTAGACAATTAGA